CAAAAATGTTCTCCGAGGCACCGTTAACGAGTTATTAACGAAAAACAGTGACCAATAAGAATCGAGTACGGCTGACGCGAGGCGGCCCAGCGCACGAAGCCCAGTTCCGTTCATTGGCTCGGTCGCCTCGCGCCAGCTGAGCTCGCCTCTCATCGGTCACTGTTTTTCGTTAATAACTCGTTAACGGTGCCTCGGAGAACATTTTTGTAAAGGAAAAAGTTGCTTCGAATGACCCGAGGAACCCTCCACTTTCGGATTGCGAGACATTTTTGGGACACTTTGTATATAGGGTTCAGGAAAAGATTTGTTTCCATTTTTTGTCGTTTCCGTGTGTAATTTATAACTAGACTGCGGATTTTATGCATTTATAGCAAAATTAAGTAGTTGCAATTTAATGTTTTAGATGGTTTAAAAGAATTTAAAAATGTTAATGTATTATTTTTCAGCTATAAAAATGATTCAAAAGATAATGAACTTTCTATCTAGTTTCTGTTTCGTGCAATTCATGCAGTCTATTTCTATTTTGCCTAAAAATCCGCGGTATATATGCAACGATTATTAATAATCCCAAAAAGATTAACGTTATTTCTTTCTAATCGCTGCATTTCTTTCGGTCCCCTCCAAAATTTAACGACAATTATCCCTCACGCGAATAAGAATCACTTTTCCATCGACGATTATTTCCTATCTGCCTATCGATAGTCATCGATAGTGTTAGCAAAATATCGGAAACAATTCTCTACCTTCACCGTGCGAGCTCCCCAGCCGCTAATAACAAGACAAACTTCCGTGGCCACGAATCACCTTGGAACCTCGATTTCAGCGAGCACGTCGACCGGCCGTCGAAGAGGTAACTTCGACTACAGGTGTCGGAAGAAGCATCGCCGCGGCAAGGAGTCGAAGAGTCGGGAGGCAGCCCGGCAGCGGGACTTGGCGAACGATTCCCGCGAGAACGAGATCCGAGGCAAAAGAGGCGGAGGCGGCGGCGGAGGCGGAGAAGGAGGAGGCGGCGGAGGTCAGTCGAAGAAGTCGAAGGATTCTCCGGCGAGGCGATATCGCGCCGAGCGTCGTCGCAGGAGGAAGAATCGGGAGCGGGAGCGGCGCCGGAAGAGAACCAGACAGAACGAGGACCGGGCGGAAGGCCGCCGGAGCTCGAAGTTCAAGAGACGGATGAACGACGCGCCGAGATCCTTGGTCCTCGGGAACCAACGGGTCGAGGAGAGCATGCTGTCCGACGCCAGCCGGCGAAGTAACTCGTCTCTTTCGGGCGGCCCGGGTTCGGGCTTCCCGTACGCGACGTCGCCGTCGAATCTTGAGAACCAATTAACCACGGAAAGTGGCAGGCGGTCCGCGCAGACCACCGCGCGTTACAGGAGCTACGAGGACACGGTCGAGAGGGAGTTCTCGAGGCAGCTGGAGAAGGAGATCCTGCGGACGCAGATGGAGGACCCGGCGAGCCTGGAGAACCGAATCCTGGGCAGCTCGTTGTCCAGGCCGTCGCACGAGCGGAAGATCGAGAAGCCGAAGATCAAGAAGGAGAACAGGTTCGGCGACTCGAGGTACGACGCCGAGAAGATGCTGGGTTACACGAGGACCAAGGAGGACCTGCCGATCCTGGACATGGAGAACGAGGTGCTGGCCAGGACGCTGAAGGACTACAACGCCTACATGACCTCCAGCCTGAAGCTGTCGATGCTGCCGTGCCGCGACGAGCTGGAGCATCGCAAGAACCCCGGCGCCCATTTCCATGGTAAACCCATCATCGACGGCACCGAGTTCGAAAGGTTCGTCGGAAAGAAGAACGCGGAGACCACGACCACCGTCAGCTCCAGCACCACCGTCGTTCCTGCGGCGTACGACGACGATACCAAGGGAGATTTATCATGCATAAACGGGACTTTCATGCCGGCTCCGCTCGCGCGGCATGCACTGATCAAATATGTAAAGTAAGTGGCTTTTAGTATGAATTATTCAGCTCATCCGAAATGTCGCGGCCTCGTAGAATCCAGTCGAACCGATTTTCTTCGCAGCCGCGGATCCGGCGCGCGTTTGCCGGTGTCGTTGTCGTTGGACGCCGCATTTTTGGGTCTCGCGTTTATGCTCGAGTCGTCGAAACTCGATGGAATTCTATGGACATTGTTTTCGGCGAAGTGAACCGGCCGCGTTTAAGAGAGGGCGGAAATCAACTAACATTAATAGTCCAGGTGAAATTTTGAAAATATGTATTTTCATAGAACTTCTTTACGACGATTCGAATTACGTGCGAATTATTTTGCCAACTAATTTTGTTCATATAAAATTTGTTTATCGTCGAAAAAATTAGTTGACGAAATGATTAGCCTATAGTTTGAATCAGCATAAAAAATGCTGTCAAGTATTTTCGATATTTTATCTGGAATATTACTGGTGATTGATTTTTGTCTGAATGCCCTCCGTTAAAGGCGATGCGAGCTTAAGCTGAGAAAGTCGATTTTTACTTAAAGAGGTATTGAAACTCTGTTGCTCGCTTTACGAGCGTTTTCGCTATTTGTTTATAGGTGGTGTAGTCGGTTCGAGGAGTCTCTAGAGGGATCAGATATTTTCTGCACACAATCGACAGCAAAATAAAAGGCCGAATTAATTCCCGGTCGAAAATTGTCGATCTTAGGACAGCTGCAACTCTGTTAAAAACTATCATAAAATAATATTATCTGCTGATCTTCTTCTCGTCGACAACCACTGCAATAATTTAATTTGATTCTCTGCAGCATACCGAATCTCATTAAAAACTGACAGGATATTCATAAGAAACTGCAGTTGTTCTAGAAGAATGCTCCGTTTCCTTTCTTCATGATGGCAATCGTTTTTTGTCGATGTAATGCATTTATTCACCCATCGATTCCGTCGATTCACGGAATTTTTATTCAGCGTTCAATTTGGATATTGACGCAGCCACGTTGCAGAGAGGTCTAGTTGTCTCGACAATTCTCGTTTTCGGTTTACGTATACATAAAACATAAATGCGTCAGTTAGACAGCACTCGAGAACGCGATCGAAACGTCTCTAATTGCAGATGTCCTCGCCCGTTCTGCTCAAAGCTTTCGCGAACACTTGCGAAAGCTCTGCTCCGAAGCATCGCCACCCCCTCCCCCTTTCGTTTGTTCTTTAATCGAGCACACGCCCCCGTGACGGGAAGAACGTGTCGCTCTATTGGCGCTTGAAATTTCCTCTTGCCCTCGGAAAACTGAATTACGGGGACAACTTCGTAGTAGAATTGTACGAGACCCGAGAAACTTTCTTAGGATCCGAGGGCCTGAACTTTTCAATGTTCTGACGCGCCGGAATTACCGCGCGGCGCTGTAAAATGTAAAAAGACGTAAAACGCGATGGGACTGCGATGCCCGAATATATCTTCTGCGGAACAAGTTGCGCCACTAAATTTCGATTCTGGGAGATCTTTATCGGCACGAAGAGTTCGGCCGCTCTAAATACTTAAAAGAGTTATTCTTCCGTTGAGAATAATTGAGGAGCGTTTGTGGACAATCTTGTTTCCTCTTCTTCAAATATTCTATGTGCTAATGGGAAATTCGATAGCACACCGTTTAGGTACAATATCCATTATATAATATATAATAAAATAAGATGGAATAGGATAAAACACAAGAAAATAAAATGAAATGGAATAGAATAAGGTACAATAGATTAAATGAGATACGATAAATTAAATAAAATACAATAATTAATACAACGTAACGTTAACACTAGATTTACGGAATCCGTCCAAGTGACGTGTCACTAATTTCTTAATTTATGATTATTCAGATTGCGAAGATACATTTATCAGTTATTTATTCAATATAATGCGTTATGTGTAGCAAAATCGGACTAAACGTCTCAATGTTGCTTTTATAAACTAATATAAAACAGCTGCCTTCAGCGCTCCGTAAATCTAGTATTAAAGTTCCACGGAACTGCAGAGGGTTGATAAGCGAACCGTTTTTGTGCTCCACTATTCTCCACTGTTAATGTTTGCCCAAGGTCATCTGTGCCAGGTCACGAGTACCTAGAAGCTGATTACGAGTGCGCCCCAGGGTATTACATAGCGACCACACCAAATAGGTTACTCTGCAAGAATCGCCAATGGATAGGACAGTTGCCGAAGTGCAAGATCAAGCACAGTCCCGAAGGGGTTTGCATCGATGCCTCCTGCGATCAAATTTGCAAGGAAATCGATGGCAGACCGGTGTGTTCCTGTTACAAAGGCTTCCGTCTGGAAGACAATAAATGCGTCGGTAGGTAGAAGTCCGCCATGCGTTTGCCATACACTTTTCTTTCTTCTGTAGTCGCTTCTGAATCGAACACTTCATTTGCTGCGACAAATTCGTTTCAATATTTCCATATATATGCATATATAAAACGGAAATTCAATATTGTATATTTGAAAATTTTAATTATATTAATATTTAATAATATTTAAAAATATTTAATGATATTTAATAATATTTAATAATATTTAATAATATTTAATAATATTTAATAATATTTAATAATATTTAATAATATTTAATAATATTTAATAATATTTAATAACATTTAATAATATTTAATGATATTTAACAATAATATTTGAAATAACCTCGACGTAACCCTTTGCACTCAAATGGCGGCTCTGAGGCACCGCCGAAAATTGCTACGTCACTGTTAAAATTAATTTTTACATTATTAAATCGGTTTATATATGAGTTTATATATGAGCTAATAATTTCATCCAAATACTATACGTTGTAAAAGATATATAACTAGTCTCGAAGCGAATGATACCCAAATAAAGCTAGCTAAATGTTCCTGAAACGTACGTGCGAATGAAGTGTTCGAGTACTTGCACGTCGATCTTCCTTAAGAAGATCCATCAGTCGTGTAAGCCCATAAATATGTTCCAGACTGTTCGTTCAAACATTTCTGCATTCTCTTATCCGTGATTTATGACCTCATTCGAATTCATTGCTTCTAAAATGCAACACACTCGCCGATGTAGATTGATCGCACTCTCGACGATTCGGTATCACGGTTCCAAATTCAATAACCTTATTCCGATGACGGACCGTAAAAAACGCTGTCACGACTATCTTCAGTAATCCGAGAATCCGTTCGTAATACATACACACATCGAGCCAAAAATTTCTTGTTCGCGTGTCCCTTTCTAGTCGGCGGCGCGAGTAGCGAATCGCGCGAACGGCATAATTCTCCCCATGGAAAGTGGCCTGTCGCGTCCGTAGAAAAGAAATTTCTCGAGATGAAATATCGACAGCACGCTCATTGAAATATTGACAGGTTTTCTGTTCTGGCATCGACAAGTTTTTTTCCCCGGTCGATATTAAAATATCGATTACCCCGCGGGAGATCCCTCACCTTTCCCGTGTCCCCGCCGAGCACGGAATACCTATATTCTCTTGGAAGTTAAGCAGGGTTATCAAATTTTGACCGAACGCTCGCTCGTGAAAATCGGACTGAAACGATAGCAATAATTGAATCAGAGCCGAAACTTTATTTCTCTCTTCGCGTTCGAGCGGTGTTTAAACTTTTAAACGGTCCGACCTATTCCTCGAAAAGTTCCAGCATGCCGGACGTCGAGCATAATTCCCATCGAGCAATTTTGCATTACTCTGAATTTGTAAAATTAACATCGCCGTCCCGTCAATATTATTTGTTATCAATATTATTATTCGATTACTAACGTTCGGTCGATGCGTTTGAAAAATAAATCTGCTTCATGGAAATAATAATAATATAATATAATAATGCTTTATGAAAATAGTGATGAGGTAACATAATAATGCTTTATGAAATATAAATCGACGGTTCTCACGGATTATAAATACAAAGTGGTTGCGTGAGCTGGAAATTGATTAAACAAATATTTCAATAGTACATGGATGTATTTGGCAACGGATTCTTATTATCGCGTTGCTGTGAAATTGTAACGATTGCTGATGTTGTTCATAAATCACGAATAATGATATAAATGTAACAAATTTCGTTAAAAGTTTTTGAGAGCGAGAGAGATACCAGAGTGCGTACCACACACACACACACACGCAGATTCTAGCAGGATTAAATGAAACTGCTTAAATTTAATAATTACGAGCTTTAATTCTGTCGGATATAACATAAATAAAATAATGAGCCGTATGCATGGAAATTATTATCTGTTTTCACGTATGCTGTACTTGACACTTACACGCGTTTATTTTCATTTATTTGCACGATCTTTTTACGCACAATCATTTAGCAGTATTATGTAGTAAATGTTTGAAAATCTTAATTACCTGTAGTATTCGCTTCGTGGTTCTAATATTTGCTTTATTTTAATGGAGATGGGCCGCGTGCATAAAGGCAAATAAAAGCGTTTATCAGGGAATTTTTAATTAAATGCTCCGTATTCATAATGGACGATGTTTTTATCAGAAATAATTTTTACCGAATATAATCGCATGTACCTACCGCGTGTTATGCATATTTGATGCGTTCACCAGAAAATTCGCTAGTAAATGCTTTTGCTACACCTATTTTAATATTAAATTGCATGTACACTCCCGGACAAAAAGCTAGCACGCTCGAAAGCTAAAGTGATTTTTTATTTATTTGATGTTACAATCAAGATTTTATTTTTACACATCCTTGCATAATACTTCTATAAACGTTCAGGAATCGAATCGAATTGAATTTTGCCAGTCTAAACAATTTTATTTGACTAAAAAGAAGAATTTTGCAGGAAATATAATGGGATAAAATGATAGCACATTTAACTAGAAATTATGTATAGTAATAAATCAAACGAATGATATTTAATAGCAACTGTCATTCTGTTTAGCGAAGATATTCACATTTTCTCTGTTAAAATCCTATCGAAATATGTGGACGATTGTGTGTACAAGCACGCTATGAGTTATCGGTAAAAGAAAATACGTATTTGTTTGCACCTTTTAACATAAAATGTGGAAAAATATAAGGTGCGCTATCCTTTTCTCCCGGAATGTAAAAGGTTTTACGATCGATCGGAATCGGAACGATTAAGGCAGACCTATCCGCGATTCGATTTCTTTTCTATATAAACGGCAGCATTTTCCTGCAATAATCACGCTAATCCGTTCGAGCGAGCGCGTTCCACGGAAATAGGAGAATTTCAGAGCCGTCCGGTATCATTAAATGAACCGTTTATTCGGCGAAGAGGTGTCGGGAACGACGTGCCGGAGAAGTTACCTAAATTCCGTGAATTACACGTACCCATTGAAATTTAGATGTGAACGAATGCAAGGATAACAAGGGAGGTTGCGAGCATAAGTGCGTGAACACCCCGGGATCCTTTCGTTGCGAGTGTCCGAAGGGAATGAAGCTAGACGAGGACAGGTTCTTGTGCAGGGGTGAGTGATTTCCATCGGAATATACGGCCCCGACCGCGGAATCTCGACGTTTCCAGTCGCAAAAAGCAACAAGTGCAAAAGCAAACGTTACCGCGAGCCGGTGCGTTCGTTTTATTATTAATTGCGCCGCGAATTTCTGCTGTTCATGAAGATTATAAATCATGCAACGGAAGTATTTTCATGCACTCGTTATATTCCCGCATGCGTCGATGCCGTATCGTTTCTCTCGTATCGTTTATTTTTGTGGCTGTTCTTTTTCGATGTTTGTAGTCTGTATTCGACGTGCGCTTGCATCTTTAATAGCGATTGATTGGAAACGATGTAGGCGTAAGTAGAGACTTGTTTGGAATTGTTGGGGCTTCGATCGAAGCAACGTGAAATTATTTTCATTGCATTTTGCATCTCTGCGAATTTTTTGACACTTCGATGATTTATACGAGAATATGGACGATGATAGAATATGTCATATGTGTTGGCATAGCTAGGCTTTTAATTGTACAGTCGTGTGTAAATCTAAGGAACAGGATCATAATCGATTTCAATTTATTTGAGAAGGTACTATGATTATGTTCATAGGTTTTGCACTTTGAATGAGTTGTACGTATATCATATTCACAGCTTTTTCTATTCAAAATTTACTTTTTAATTATCCTTTCTACAGGTTTTATTTATCCTTCATGTTATCATGTTAAACTTTTTCACAGATCATAATTGCTTGCCTTTTATTCAATTTTTAAATTTAATACGAATTTGTACACTTATCTATAAAATAATACAGATTTCATTACTAATAATTAATCTTTAATAATTATTTATAAAATATCATCCAGTTTTTAAATTTGACATGAATTTGATTACAAATAATTATAAATACGTGAATTCAATTTGCGAAAGGGTTAATTTCGTTTGCAAGGAAATGAACAGGACCTTCAAAACATTTAACATTTAACATTTTTCTGGCGGCTTTGAAAGTGTTTTTTAACATCCTTATAAAACGAAATTTTGTTGAGAAATGAAATAACTTTTCAAACTATCCAATAATAAGTTTATACGGTTTAAAACTGTTCTTTATTAATTTACCAATTTTTGACTATTTATTATTATTATCAACTAGTTACACTATGTATATTTTAAACCGTTAATGGTGTTAAACGCTAGCTATGCCACCGACGCTGTACGCGACCCCATGCACGTTAACGCGAAGCGTAGAAACTGTGAGGTAATCGTTTATTCCTGCGATAATTATTCAGACATCAACGAGTGTTTGTTGAACAACGGACACGGGCCTTGTCAGGACACTTGCCGGAATACCATAGGGGGTTACGAATGTTCTTGCGACGGTTTACAAGACTCCGTGCTGTCAGCCGACAACCACACGTGCCAGGATGCTGGTCCGTGCAGCGTCAACAACGCAGGATGCTCCCACACTTGTCTCTCCACGATGGGCCGGGTGTTTTGTCTCTGTCCCGACGGTTTTATCCTCGAGGACGATTGGAAGACTTGCCAAGGTAACGGAGAATTCTTACCTCACATTTTTTCCCGCTCCTTTCTCGTCCCTTTCTTTTTGCGGCTTTTTCGTCTCGGCCGAGCTCTGTTTTATCGTCGAATCACAAGGGAGCTTCAATAACCCATTCGAAATGGAACGCGAAGAATATTGAATCGCCGGGGAGTTCGTGCGAACGCTGCGACATCGGTAACTCGATCGTGTGAACCTGCACTTCCAATAATGCAAAGTGTCCATACACGCGTACATTCACGACCGTAAGTACACGCACATCTCTCTATAGCAAACACAGTAAATTCTCTCTGTAAAAGGCCAGGAGCTCGGAATTGAAAAGGGTAATCGGCGGACATTCAGTCGCGATTCTTCGAGCCTCGCGGCTCGTTTTTGCAGTTGCCGACATCTCGTGTGTGTGGGACAAAGCGAGAGAGAGAGAGAGAGAGAGAATGAAACTCGAGGCAGTCGGCAAAAAAAGGCAGCGGCCCGCATGCAGGTGTACATTAATACGAATACACAGTAATGCTGGAATAAAAACGATCACTTAACATTTTTATTTCTAATTTTTAAAACATGAAAATTGTTCTAATACATTGGTCAGATTCTTCGAATTAAAATGAGACCAAACACGACATACTTTAGACCATATTTATTCATTATACGTAGCAACTAATATATTTTATTTCATTATACAAATTGTAATTATAACAAGAAAAAGCATTAGATAAATATTAAAGACAACGTCAAAGAAGATACGTACATCGTTCGAAAGAAAATATCAGTTTTGCTACTCGAGCCTACATTCGACAGCAATTCGGTGGAACGAGCCTCTACGCGTTTCACGGAGAGTGTGAAGGATCAACGGTCGTTGCGATTAGTCACGTATTTTGTAGCTCCGCGGTTTTATTTACCTGATTCGCACCCAAACAAACCATTTCGTGTTGTCTTCCGGGAATTCGCGTCGCGTGCCGCATTGCACGCTTGACCGACTTCTTCGAACCTTAGCATCGACGTAGCAATGAATCACGCAGGCTTAGGACCAGCACAGGAAGATTCGCGCAACCAGAAATTCGGCATTCTAGAGAGAATTTACTGTGGTCGAATGCTCGCGGATTGAAGAATGTTGTGGCACCTCTGAATAGGGTCTATTTTAACACTTAAACGACCGCATATTATATATATATATATATATTTCAATGTAAATTGAAATTATTATGAGATTATCAAGCAGTGTCCAGCAAGCTCAAGATATACAGGGTGTCCCAAAATTATGGTATTTCCTGGAAATACCATACCACCTTGTATATACCTGCAACATGAGAATTCGTTCGAACATTTTGTAATACTTGGCAACTACTGTTAGAACAGATAATTTTCAGAGAAAAGAGATAAAAACGGGAAATGTCGTTGCCGGTCTTTCAGGTCTCAGCACGGAAACACGAGAAATCTCGTGAACGGTCGTTTAAGTGCTGAAGTAGAACCATTTTCAAGAACGTTCTCGCATCGTCCGATCGGAACAGAAAATAAAGTTCCAGGTAGAATCGACCAGAGTTCTCGTCGTTTCATGATATTATAAAGGTTCTTCGTTCTCGTAGCAAGTAGCGAATATCATTTATTAATGAATATATTTATTTGTTTTCAATAAATATATTATTGCTCGAACTTGTTCTAAGAAGGTTCTCGATTGTTCTTTATGTTCCTCTCGCGAGACCTCTCTCAGTGGGCACTCTAAGATATTATAGTTTTACCATGCTGCAAGGTGCTTTTTGCCTGCTTTCCATGTTCGTCTCGCGAGACCTTTCTCGACACGCTCTCTGAGATAGTTCTACTATGTTCCAAACAGATTTGTCGATATTTTTCAAGTTCCCCTCGTGAGACCTTTCTCGGTATACTTTCTGAGATAGTTCTCAGAAAAAAAGATCCTTCATTATTTTTCAAGTTTCTCTCACGAGAGCACTCTCGATGAACATTTCAAAATGGTGCTTATTTATTCCAAGATGCTTTTTGACTGCTTATTGTGGTCCTCTCATCAGATCTTTCTCGATGAACGTTCTAAGATAAAAAAGTTTATCCATTATTTCCTATGTTATAGAGTAATTATATTTCTATGTTTTCTTTTTTATTGCTCCTCTTGTTCCTTTCATTCATTTTTCAAAGAACGTCATAGGATACTCCAAATTTGATCCAACTTATTGCAACTTCCAACTTACAGCAAGTTCCTAGTAATATTTCGTGTAATATTCCGTTTCCGCGGATTCTCAAGAAAATTGCCCAGAATTTTATCTCCCGAAGATTCATCTCGCATTAAAATATTAATGATTAATAGTGCTTTATTAGGTATCCGTGGAATCTCGCAGGAAGATATCTCGAGGCGGCAGTCTCTTCCTGTTATGAAATATTTTCCTGAACGTGCTGCAACACTTCCCTAAGGAATTTACAAACACCACGGCACTGAACCCTATTCCATGACACTTATCAGCATAACGATAAAATCGAAATTCTAATGTCCGAAAAATCGGCACGATCTGCAGTTTTTAATAAACCAATCGCGGGCCGGATAGATAGAGTTTCATTAAATTCCGCCGTGTTTGAGTTTCCCGACGGAAAACGGGATTTGCATAATGCTCGTTAGTATACTCGGCAGCCCACTCATTAGCGAGACCATAAAGGAGAAAATAAGAGAAGGAAACCGATCATATTTATGCCTATAAACTACCGTATAAGTTAATGAGAATAACGATGATACGAGCCTGTACCGACAGCACGGTCTAACCCGCGCCGTCATTAAACTTAACCCTGCATTTAAGTACTGTGCTCCGAGTACGGACTGTCGGATGTAATTAGGAAGGATCTCGGTTACGATATAATTATGCGTCGGTGTAACAAATTGGACACAGGGACTTGCATCGAAACATAAAATATCGGTATCATATCGGTATTACAACGGTATTCGTCGGCAATTTCTTCGGTTTTCTTATTTCGTTGTAATTTTCAAAGTATTCTTTGTGTTAGCAAATACTAGAAAATGATGTAGGTAAAACATAAAATTGTGGTGACGTAAGATGAATTTAGTAACAATGCTACACTATTTTCAATGTTTCAAAATTGTTGAAAGGAACAATTTATTATTTCTTCATTTCATCGATCTATTATTTCTTGTGATCGATGTAACAGATTTTTATTTCGCAGTCTACTTATTGTA